CAAGTGGCCCATGTTCTGAGAGCTGTGGTCTGCTTGGGGCAGTCTGGGGTCAGGGTGCTCTGCCCTGGGAAGTTCCACTGACCATCACCCCACCTTCTGTGTATAACTAGGCAGTGTCTACACAGCTCTCTGCCCTGCAGCATTGGCCACCTCCACGTGCATGCCCACATGCCCTGGCACAGGACTCGGGTTGGTACACACTTCCCACCTGTCCCCCAGTGTCCCTCCGCCGTGTCCCATCACTGGGAGATGAACCACAAACCAGCCCGTAGGACCACTCTGCACTGGGCCAGGCTCTGGAACTGCCCTGGAGACCCCAGCCATTCCTGAATGTGACCAGTGGGGACCCATGTCCACGATTCACTTGGGAGGGCTGGTCATGGGGAGCCACAGTGTGTGTGGGGGGCCCTCCGCCGTGTTAGCTTGCACAGGACCTGTGCTGGGCAGCGCCCCACGGAGGCCCTGGTCGGGTAACACTCACCCTGTCTGGATGACCTGGGGCCGCAGCACAGGACAGACAGAAGCAGAGGACAGCACAGGTTTCCATTCTCAGTGCCGAAAGCCAGAGTTTCAAATGGCCCTTTCCCCCAAGGTCACACTTCGTTACTGCCATGTGTCAAGTCCCTAAATGGATGTGTGCCAGCCCTAACCCAGGTCCCGGGGACACGGGCCTGTTTGCAAAGTGGGTCTGTTAACATGAGGTCATGGTGGGGCAGGGTGGGTCTCGTCCAATGAGTGTCCTCAAAAAGGAGACACAGAGGGACACTGCCGAGAGAAGGCGGTCCTATGTGACCACCGAGGCAGAGACTTGAGTTACATACCAGGGGACAAGCCACAGGCTACCCGGCCTTCAGAGCTGAGAAGACAAGGACCCTCCCCTCGAGGTCTTGGAAGGAGTGAAGGCCTGCCCACACCTTTGACCTCTGGCCTCCAGAACTAAGACAATAAATTTCTATCATTTCACATCACCCAGCGTTGGGTGCTTTGTCCATGGCCCTGGACACTCACATGCAGACCCACTCTACATGACCAGGTGAGACCTGGGGCAAAAGTGAGCTTAGGACACAGCATGTGAGGGGCCAAGCACACGGGGAGCC